GTAGTTCACTTGAAGAATCAACGAGATGAATCATATGTGTTGGGTAATGGACAAGATAAACTTTATCCTGCATGGTGGGAGATCGATAAGGTTAGTATTTATTTTTTAAATATTTTAAAGGTGTTCATAAATAAGTGCGCAATTGAATTATTATATATGATTGCAGGTGTTTATCCATGTTTTGGAACATAATCATTGGTTTCTCGTCGAGCTTCAGCTCCCATCCCTGAAGACAATAGTATATGACAGCATGATAAATTACATATCATTGTCTGATTTGAGAGATATTATTAAGGGATGGAGCTCTCATTTGGCTAAATTCTTGGATGTGATTAATTATTGGACTTATTATGGAAACAAGAAGCCAAAGAAGTTCAATGTTACAGTTATCAGAGACGAGACCGCGCCACAACAAACGTAGGGAGCCAGAGGGGATTGTGGTCCTCTCGTATGCATGTGCTTGGAGCGTTTGACGACAGGAAGTATATAGTTTCTACCTCCCACTGATAGAGATAGAGGTGCAGTAGGCTTGTGGTTTTGGCATTTTATGGCTAGAGCGATATATGCGAGACGCTGCCTACCTGCATCCGCGTTATAAAAGTGTCCATAAACAATTGGTAAGTCAAATACAAGTATTGTTAAGTACCTAGAATTCAATGATTTGTTGTTTGTTGGTTTTATATGTGTAGAAAGTGTTGTTTGAGCAAATGTTTGGTTTCTGCAGGTTAATCCTGAAGTGAGCTGCGTGAAATTGATGTATGGGTGCATAAACAACTGTTTGGGGTACATTTTTTTATTGTTTAATTGATTCTTAAAAGTTGATTTGTTTAATTGATGAGGAAAATAAGAATTATTATTATTTTTTACTTGTTTAATTGATTTGTAAAAGTTGATTTGTTTAATTGATGTGTAAATAATTCTTATTTGTGCTTGTTTAATTGATTGAAATGTAAAAGTTGATTTGTTGATTTCAATCTGCATCATATTGAAGGCAAAAGACCTGTTGAAGGTATACTTTCGCAACGCTAAACTCAAAATCGCAATACGAAAGTCAAAATCGCAATGCGAAAGCCAAAATCGCAACGCAAAAGTCAATTCGCATTGCGATTTTCACGTTGCGAAAGTCAATTCGCGTTGCGATAGTCTAATATGCTTTGCGATTTTCTCGTTGCGATAGTCAAATTCCCGTTGCGATAGTCAAATTCCCGTTGCGATAGTCAAATTCACGTTGCGATAGTCAAATTTGCGTTGCGATAGTCAAATTCGTGTTACGATAGTCAAATTCGCGTTGCGATAATCAAATTCGCGTTGCGATATTCAAATGAATGTGTAATAAGTGATAACAACTGAACAGATCATAGCAATGTTCAAACTCAAGTTACTAATACATACCTAACTGAAAATGTTAAAAGTTTACACATAAAATACACATAATACAACACTTGCATTTAAAAATCACCTAAGTTAATAGTCCCAAAAGGTGAAGCCGGTTGTGATTGTGATTTTGATTACGATTTTGATTGCCTTTTACTTGACACCATATGAGCTTTGGATTTTGATGAGAATCCATATTTTGGTAAAGGAAAAGATGATTGTGATGGCACTGGTGATCCACATGTCAACCTTGTATGACCACTTTCCTTGCACCGACTACATGTCGATCTCTTCTTCTCTTCACCCTTAGACGGTATACGATCGTGACTTTTTGGTCGGCCAGGTAGCCTTCTGTCCATGGCTGGTGGCAAAACTGTTTGTAAGTCATCTGATATGTCCCACTCAGAAGGATGTGGAATAAGGTAGATAATCTCGGCATAAGTCTGTCGATATACTTCTGTAGTGTAGCAATCCATAGCGTATGCACTTGAATCATCTTGGTTTAGATGAAGAACAACTTTTATAACATGGCCACACGGATAACCAGATGTTTGCCATTTCATACAACTACATGTCTTTGCATTTAGATCGACAAGCCCATTTAAGTTATTATCAAGTACTTCAAACAAAGTGTTTGAACATGGTTCAACTCTCCATGACGTTGACTTCACAACACGTTTTGTTATCTTTTTTTCAGTCCATGGTGTAACACGATGTTCCAATGTTCCTATAAATTTAAATAAATAATACTTAGTAAAATATATGATAAGTTACGAATTTAAAGAAATAATACATGCATGGTTTCTTTTTTTGTAGTACCACTGTTGAATAGAGGCTCGAAAAAACTCCATTAACATAGTAATGGGTAATTTCCGGGAATGACGACTTAGAGCGTTGATTGATTCTGCACTATTAGACGTCATGAAACCATATCTTGCTCCAAGTTGATGTACTCTTGACCATCTTTCAAACCCAACATCTTCTAGTGTTTGAGCACACTGAGGCAAAACACGTCTTAAACAATTTATATGCTTATTAAAATCCACTTCTCGATAAGCTTTTACAGACTTCCAGTATGTCCATTTGTGATTTTTTGTACCAGCAGACCTTGATTTTAGATTTTTATACAAATAAACACCACAAAGTCCATGAAAAGCATCTGGGAAACACCTTCTAACAGCGTTGTCAATTGAGTTTGCCCTATCGGATATGATTGTCAGATTGCTAATAGGACCTATGCAATCCCTAAGATGCCCCATAAACCATGTCCATGAATCAGAGGTTTCAGATTTTCCAACCCCGTAAGCTATTGGCAATATCCCATTGTTAGCATCCATGACTACTGCTAATAAGTTTACTCCAAGGTATCGACCTTTCAAATGTGCTCCGTCAACTATAATAACTGGGCGCATGCAAGTAATAAACGAACAAATCTACAAAATAATATACACAAGAAATATAATCATTTAAATGTGAAATGCATGTAACTAACAAAAATGAGTCAACAAAATTATATTGATTTACTAACCGCAGCACCAATGGCGATAAACAGCAACTCAAAGCGTCCATCTCTATCTGTTTTGATATGAGTTGCCGACCTATGATTTTTCAGCTTTAAATTGTGACAATAAGCCGGCAGTTGGGTAAACGATGCTTCTGGCGACCCCCTCAACAATTCCAATGCATAACATTTGGCTCTCCAAGCTTGAGAATATGAGATACTAATCTTGAACCGAGCATTCATGTCAGTCATAATTTCATGTCCCCGATATACCCTGCCATTCAAAAACATTAACTCAGCCAGAAAACCACCCAACACCTTTTTGTTTGCCTGTCTATGGTGAGGAAAAACTTGGGTTCTTGAACATGTATGTTTATCAATAAAAGTCCTAACTTGAAACATTTCGCAATCTTTTATCCTCTTTGCAATCATACGCCATGTATAGTTTTTGTCAATCATACACCTTGTTTCGAAACGATCTTTGCTTGATTTGTTAACTTTTAGTTGATAGCCATCTTCCACACATTTCGTATACAAAGCTATCTTCAAGTCTTCCTTTGTATCAAAACAATCATCTTTCTTGATACGAATAATTTTTGTGTAACAATCAATTGCTATCTTTACCAACTCTTCTTCCGGTATCTGAAGTAATTCTGACATATTCCAGTTATACTCCTGTGGCATTTTCTTCGGGGACTTTTCTTCGGGGATTTCTTCTTCAGGGTTATATGAATTACAGAATGGATGTTCAACATATTCATTCACAGTCGTAGCTTCCTCCTCATTATCATCAACAACATCTTCCTCGGCAGCAGCTGTTTCATCATCAAAATTCGGTTATTGACCAATATCAAAATCATTACACGCATGGTCTGTTTCTTCTTCTGAAACATCATCAAAATCCGAGTATTGACCAAGATCAAAGTCTGGGTATTGACCAAGATCAAATTTTGAATACTGACTATTACTCACAATTTTTTCTGTTGGCTCATCATCGTCTAACTTGTCAATAAGAAAACCGGAATTTGGTGCTGAAAGTTGATTGGGATTTGGATTAGGGAAAGGTTGTGGGTTTTGAGATTGTGTTTGGTATTGGAAATGTGGTGAAACAAAATTTGCTTGGTGATGAAATTATGGTGGAACCATTAAATTTTGAGCACCATAAACTGGGGTTGAAAAACTTAGTTGATTACTACACGCTACTGACCCAACTTCACTACTTCTAGGTTCAACAACATACAATGTAACATCATCCTGTGAAACACTAATGTAAGCAATGAATCGTTCAACATCTTCATTGTCGGTTAACAAATAAACTTTACCTTTTCTCTGATAAGATAGCCTAAATCTACTTAGGGGCTCTAAATTCAATTTATTTGCAACACGTAACATTAGAGTTTCATAAGTTAACTTTTTTAATGACAGTTTTAGTTGAAGATTCATGGGTAAAGACATATATTGTAAAACACCATGAACATTCTCCAATGACCCTCCAAAACACAAATCTATCCAAACATGATCAACATTAGATGATTTCATTATTGTAAATTAATTTACTAAACAAACGAGCTGCGAAACTAAAACCTGTTGCCGGATGGGGAAGGATGTCGTTGGATATAGGATGTCGTTGGATATAGGAACGGATGTCGCCGGAGAGAGTGATAGATGGAGATGAAATGAGTTACGATTTAGGGATTTAGGTTATGAGTTGCTACTGCTGCGTAGTTATATACCCAAAACATTTGTGTTGCGAAACTAAAACTTGTTGCGAATTTGAAATTCAGTGTTGCGATAGTCAGAATCGCGTTGCGATAGTTAGAATTGCATTGCGATTTTCTAAAATCGCAATGCGAATTTGAAAAATCGCAATGCGATAGTCAAAATCGCGTTGCGAATCTGGAAACTGATTTGCGATACTGGAGATCGCGTTGCGATTTAGAGATCGCATTGCGACTTTGTTGGTCATTTTGGCAAATCGAAAAAAAATTGGTCAAAATCGTATATTATAAGGCATTTTCGGTCACTGAGATTATTTTCTCATAAAAAAATCTATTTAATATGACCTATATATATTTTTGGAAGCTATTTTAAAAAGAAAGAATATGAAAAAAAACTCCATTATTACCTACCACTTTGTTTCAAACAGATCAACAAACCCTAGAGAGGCACAGTGATACACAGATCGGAAGAAGGGACTAAAAACTGAGGGAAAATGAGTCAAAAAATAAGAACGGCTCCAAAACAAGATTCTCAGTCCACCGGCACCATCGCCGTCGCCGATGCTTCAGCTCAAGTTTCAATGGACCCATTTTTCCACATCCTGAAACTCGTCCCCTACTCTTTCCTCCGCCCTCCGCGCCTCCGCCTTAAGCTCCCCTCCTTCTCCCTTCCGTCGGCCATGACCGTCTTTTCTCTCATCCTCCTCACCTACTTTATGGTGGTTTCGGGCTTCATCTATGATGTCATCGTGGAGCCCCCCGGAATTGGCTCTACCCAAGACCCCGCCACCGGCGCAGTCCGACCTGTCGTCTTCCTTCCGGGCCGAGTCAACGGTCACTACATCATCGAAGGACTATCCTCCGGGTTTATGTTTGTGCTTGGTGGCATTGGGATCGTGCTCTTGGATCTTGCCCTTGATAAAAACAGGGCTAGGAGTATCAAGGTTTCGTACTCCATCGCGGGGATCTCCTCCGTTGTTATTGCTTATGTCCCTGGTTATCTTTACCAATCATTTGAGTTAAAACTATTTTATTAAAAAAAATAAAAGAATTAAAAACTATTTAAATTAAAAACTTATTCGCATCAAGATCCCTGGTTATCTTAGGTGAAAATGTTACTTTATTAGCTATTAATTAAGTCTTCTTCAGTTTAGTTGAACAATTTTGAATAAAAAGGACCATCTCTTCACCTTGCTTTCTTTGGGTGTTTTTGCTTGTTGAAGAACCTGAATTATGTGATGTAAAATTTGCCTTTGGATTCGAGTTTTAAAGCTCTTATGATTGGTAATTCCACGTTTTTAGGATCTAATTACTGGATTAACAAGTTGAACATCATGTATTTGTTGATTGATAGTGTTTTTGCTTATTGAAGAACCTGAATTATGTGATGGAAAATTTGCCTTTGGATTCGAGCTTCAAAGCTCTTATTGTTGGTAATTCCATGCATTTAGGATTTCATTACTGGATTAACAAGTTGAACATAATGTATTTGTTGATTGATTTATTATTCTTGATTCACGAGTGTTCTTCATATGTCAGTTTATTATTACAGTGAATAGGATCTACCTAGGGAAAGAGGATTTCATAAACAAATCGCCGTGTTAACCAAGAAATTAAGGGAAGGGATTCTGACTATCTATTGGAAAGTTATTAGTGAAAAGAGAAAGAGGGAAAGTAATTCGAGTCGGTGAATGGTTGGGGCATTTGGTGCACGATGATGATCTTCAATTTGGGTATTTTTTATATCTGCTTTTGCCTTGCAATGTATGCTAATATTCAACATCCTAGTTTATGCTTCAGGTCATTTGTTGCATTGGTCGATTCTAGGTTTTACTTTTAAAACTCGGCTTGGCTAGTATTTCAGATTAAAATGTGTTTAGTGATGCATTTAGACGTGTCTTGATTTTGTACGGTTTATTAGGCAAAGTTGATAACATTTATAAATCTAAATGCTTTCTTACCATAAATAGTTCTGTTAGCTTGTCTCTAATTCCTTATCTTAGTTTTTGCTTATTCGAATCTCACTTTTCTAATTTTAAGTGGCTAACCTTGAATCAATTGAAGAAACTGACTGTATTTACAATGATGAAGGGTTGGTGGTTTATAATCAAGAAATGTTAGAATGAATATGATCGTAAGTAACTTGACTCAATCTGTCTCTTATACACACTTATCCTGAACTCATGTGAAAGTTTTGAGTGCATACCGTGCATTATGGTAGTGCAGTTGTTTTCAGTCGGGCAGTTTTGTTGACAATGTTGCCTTGCCTGTCATGGTTTTCCATAATTATGAAATGTTGTTTTCACTCAGGCAGTTTTGAGTAAAAGTATGATTGTTTTAATAAGTTATGGGTCTCCATTTATAGGCTTATAACTAGATGAATCGATGTCATAGCTGCTTAGAGGGCTCCTATATTAATAGGATGCTCATGGCATCCAAAGAGGACAATATCGATTTAAGGGAGGTGCTTCATTCTGAGTCAGAATACCATTCCAGTCATTTGGAATGCTCGAGATGATATTACTTGCCAACTTGATTTGATATAGGAACTAAACAAAGCACCGTGAACAGTAACTTTATCAAAACTCGTTGTCTTAGCCATGTCGCTCATGCTCTTTGTTGAGTGAGTTTACTTAGAAATCGTCATTCTGTCATTATTCTTGTGATTTTTTCGTGTGAATTATGGTAGTGCAGTTGTTTTACTTACTGGTTCAGTTTTGTCGACAATGTGGCTTGCCTGTCATGGTTCCCAAGTGTTTGTATTTTTTTTGGGGGGAAAGGATGTTCTTCCCAGGACTCAAAGCTTGGATCTTTTATGCGTCAATACAGTTTCAACCACTTGCTCGTTTAGATTGTTTGGCTTTTGTTACTTCTCTTCAATATTGTTTTACTAAGAAGTTATATGCATCATATCAAAATGTTACAAGACTTGATAAATTAAGTACTGCTATCACATCATCATCCAAAATCTATAGTAGATTATCGTATCAGCATCGTAAATTACTATGTTAGCATTATAATGTTTTTCAATGCTGCTTTCCATTGGTCGAAGTATCAGATTAAAACTTTTATGGGTTTAACGATCATATTGGGTATCAAATAAATTTAGGGACCATATTAATTATTTTCTTCAAATGTTCAAGCTTTAAATATATATATTTAATTGGCATCTTTTAATTTAAATAGTTTTTAATTCTTTTATTTTTTTTAATAAAATAGTTTTAACTCAAATGATTAATGTTTATGTCCCTTAGGTTGTAATTTGCTATTGGCTCTTGTGTTAGCATAAGTTGTAGATTTAGTCTATATTTTGTTATAAGTCCTTTTTAGTTACAAAATTTAATTATTTTAATTTAAATTGAGATTAAAATTTTAAAATCTTGAAAAAAACTAAAGATATCAAGTTAGAGAATAGAGACTAAAAATAAAATCCATGGATGATAAAGATCGATAACTATAAATAAATTAATAACATAAATATGTGAGATTGAATAAATGAAGTGGTGAGTTGAATTATTTTTTATTAAGTTAAGGTGATTATAAAGGTGGTATGTTTTAAGTACTTTTAATTATTTAACGATAAATGTTTAATCATTCTGTTATAGTCGTTGTTGTCCGAATCCGTGACCTCTAAGAATAATAACGATTCTTTTAACCACCGTAAGTTAGTTGTGATGAGGTTAAAATTGACATTTTGGATTTTGGAAAAGAATGAATAAGGTGGCCAGCTCATTGATACACCCATCATACATGGCTAAGTGCCAAAACTCAACCCATATCAAATTTAATTATTATATTAAAAATAGATAATGCCAAATTAAATTATAAATGAGTTAATATCACATTTGACTATAAATACATTTGTAATATAATAGGAGCAATATATATACATATGAGTTAATATCACATTGGACTAAGTACATTTGTTATATAATAAGTAGTATATATATGTATGAGTTAATATCACATTTGACTATAAGTAAATTTGTAATATAATGAGTATTATATATATATGTGTGTAATTTTATTCCGTAACATTTTACTACGTTCTAGAAAAAAAAATGACGGCTAATCTTTTTTTTATTAATAGTTAATTATAAAATATATTTATTATAAAGATTCTAAATTATTGAATAATAAACTTTCTTAAACACTTTTGTCTATATACGTTGACGCTTGAACGTATTATTTTTAAAGACAAAAATCATCTCTTTAATCATTTTTTTTTTGTTTAATAAGATATAAGGGCCGTCTAGTTGTTCGTTCTATCAGCAGTTAACAACTCCTCAACTTCTTTAGATAAGTTTTCCAGAAAAATTATGTCTTCCTGAATTTTCCATATCTACTTGGTGATAAAGTCTGCGACGCGGTTAACCCCCTATGGGTATATGCTTCAAGTCTATTTCCCAAGTCTATTTCTCATCTCTTTTTCCATTAAGTTAATATTACATATTTATTTTTATCTATTTTTTATATTGTATGTTTATTTTTTTTAATAACGTTATCTTTATAACATATTTCTTTTTGCATTTATTACATGTTTTCTCTGACTTTGACAGGTTCTCTACAGTGACAGAGCCACATGATGACGTGATTGGATACATATACATCCTAAAATATAATTTTTTTTATTAATTACTTATTTTAGTGATAGTATCTGTCTTGAAATTTTATTTGTGTCCATCTTATTAAAAAAATTACGTTGTTAATATATGTGTGTGTCTATCCTAAAAAATATTTTTGGATCTGTCATTCTTTTTATTTAATTTTTAGGGTTAAATTTAACATCACATCGACTGATCAAGATGATGTCTATTTATTATCCTCCTGATTTTCCATGTTTTTGACTATTTGGTTTGGTTTGGATATGCGGATTGCGTTTGGAGATAGTTTACTCGTGTTGCTCGACTTTGATTTGCGATTGTCGGTGGTCTTTCAGTAATTTGATCTCTTTTTATGGTTAATTTTCTGATGCAGTCAGATCTATTTGTATTTATATTTTGTTCAAGCCTTTTGGATGAATTTTTAATCTTTTCCTTGTATGGTCCTTGTTTGATCTCAAGTGACTAGTTTCTTGTGTATGTGATTATAAGAAATGTCCTAATTATGTGTTTAGTTTACCCTTATCGTCATAAACATTTTGAAAATTTCCTTTTTCCTAAAAAAAACCTAGTGACTTTTATTGTTTATATATATATAATACGTAATCCAATTATGTTGTGTAAAACATTTTTAGTTTTACATTTTTTAAAGGATATTTAAATGAGAGAAATTAAAAATATCATTTAATTTTAATCTTTTCATAAATGCATTTAATTTTAGTGGTTACAAATTAATTTATATTTAAAGGTAGTGAGAATTGAATAAATAATAATTTAATAATTTATCATTATCTTTAAAAATATCAACGGTTTAATTTTTAGTACATTTAAAAATCAATAAAGCTAATGACCCGCTAACAAAAAAGATTAACATAAAATAATATTAATAGTTTAAGGATTAATATATATTGTTTCAAAGATTAAATACTGGTCTACAACGAAATCATAGTTTGGTGATTGATAAAAAAATGTTTTAAAATTAAGTGGTGAACTTAGAACAAATGTCATAATTTAGGGACAACTTGTACAATTAACTCTTAGTTTTTATTATATGAATTTCTAATTAGTCCAGAGCAAATAAACAAAAAAATAACTTTATTAAATAATTAAAAATCAATTGAGTTTAATTCAATTAATATTATAATTAATACATTAGACAAGAATATGAAATTAGCATACTTAAACATTCAATATTTTTATGTTATTTGAATTTATATAATATTAATATTATATAAATTATTTAAAAATTACTCAAAAATAAAGATATTTTGAATAAATAAATAAACGAGAATTTAGATAAAGTGTAAGGAATGAATAACAGTAACGAGGGAGGAGCGCGGGATTTGCGGGCAGCCGAAGAGAAAACAGGACGTAAAGTCCAGAGCAAAGGCCATCAACCATTAATTTTAGGGTAAACTATATTCTAAGTCACTCCATTATTGATTTGGTTATAAACATGCCATGTTTTCTAAAAAATTATAATTAAATAATTCAATTAAAATATTATTACACATAATTTGTTCTGCATTTAAAATTGAAAAAAAATCCAACATGATCTAGTATAATAATAATTTAAATTTTAGATATTATATCAATTAAGCTATAATTTAAAATAATTCAATAAATTTAACTCTTTATACTTAAAACTTTATAAATTTTATTCGATTTTATCGTTTTTCATAATAACTACAGTCTATCACAAAGCAACAAGAAGTCACTGATAGAAGTCGTTCGTCAATATTTACAAGATAAGAATAAAGACTAAATTGAAATACTTTTTAAACATGAAAAAATTTAAATTTATTGAATTTTTTTAAACTAAAACTAAATTGATAAAATATATAAATTTTTAAGACTAAAATTATTATTATACCCTACGATATTAAACTCCAGTTTCAATTTTTAACAGGAGAATGACATGCTTATAATAATAATTTAATTAAATAATCATTTTTAGAAGAAAATATGAAATATTAATAATCTACCTAAACTTCCGCTCTCTTTTGCTCAAACATCGTCTCTCTTCCTATTTTCCAGTCCGTAATCTTCCTTTGTACGGTTTATATATAAATATATATAGCCACGATCAATCACGAAACAGGTACTCATCTCTTCAAATCCAAAACCCTTTTTTTTTATTTTCCCCTTTGTTTTGATTTAATTTCTCTAGGGTTAATTTTATACAGTTTTGTTTTGGGATCAGTTTTATGTGAAATAAAACGTTGTACTAAGAACAGAAAGTGAGAATAATGGAGATGAGCAGAAACGAAGGAGACGATCATCATCATCATCATGGGAGCAGGCCGAGAAGATCAAGTGGAGATCAAGAAGAAAAGGTTAGGGTTGGGACTGTGGATTTGAGTGGGATGTCTTTGGATTCCCTTCCGATTTCTTCTCTCAATTTGTCAATTGTTTCCAAGTTGGACCTCTCCAACAACAATCTCCGGGTTTTTCTTTCTTTCTTTCTTCCTAAATCGTTAGTTTCTTTCTGTTTTTCCCCAGTTGTACTTATCTGTAACATAAACATATAAATCGTGAAGGTTGTTTAAATTCTTATATAATTTAGATATTTTCTTTATTTAGACGTAAAATTTTGTGTCGGTATGATTGTGAATTAATTAGTTGATTTGGCGTTAGTAATATGATTTGATATGACAGAACATACCGGAGTCGTTAACGGCGAGGCTGCTGAACGTGGTGGCCATGGACGTGCACTCTAATCAGCTCAAATCTCTCCCGAACTCCATCGGTTGTCTGTCTAAGCTCAAGTTTCTCAACCTCTCCGGCAACCTTCTCCGGACTATCCCAAAAACATTCGGAAACTGAAAGTCATTATAAGAGTTGAACACCAACTTCAACCAGCTCACAATGCTACCGGAGACCATCGGATTCGAGCTCATCTGCTTGAAGAAACTGTCGGTTAACTCGAACAAGTTGATCCTCCTTCCTCAATCGATCACTCACTTGACATCGTTACGAGTCCTCGATGCACGCCTCAATTGTCTCCGGTCACTCCCCGATGACATGGAGAATCTGATCAACTTGGAAGTTCTCAACGTGAGCCAAAACTTTCAGTACCTCGAAACCCTACCTTATTCCATTGGCCTATTAATGTCCCTCGTCGAATTGGACGTCAGCTATAACAAAATAAATTATATGTCCGATTAATCGAAACGAGATTCTTTTTAGCTTTAAAAGGAAAACACTAAATTAATCAAAACGAGATTTTTTAAATCATACTTAATTAAAAAAATTAAATTTATGTTTTTTTAAAAAAAAATCATTTCTACCGGTTCAAGAGGTAGAATTTTAAAGCATGCACATTTGAAGCTATGGAGTTAAATATTAAATTGGAGGTACATACTTATTTTAGTATTTGAATCTGTCTGTAATATTTAATTTAGTATTTTATTTTTATTTAATTAGATATCTGATATTAATTTAACAGAGAAAGTGAAAACAAGAAACGTTTGTTTGCATGGACAACACCTTATTTATTATTTCAAATTCCATGCATCCCACATCTCATCTTCTCTCCAAATCCTCTTCCTCTCCCGACACGGCGGAACACCACCCCGCAACAGCTGCCATCGCTGCCGCAGCCGTGGCGTTTCGCCGTCAACTCCAAATCCTAGTGCTTTTTTTTTCTCCATGGTTTACATTTCTTACGAGTTGTCGGATTATGAAATCCTTCTCAAGTTCAAATCCTCGTTGAAGAACAACAGTGCTTTGAAGAGCTGGCGAAACGATTCCAAACCTATATGCAACAGCGAACGTTCCAACTAGATCGGCGTCTTTTGTGAAAACGGCACCGTTTGGGGTTTGAAACCCGAGAGCATGGGACTATCGGGCACCATTGATGCCGCCACCTTGTCCGCCTTGTTCAGATTGAGAACCTTAAGCTTCGTGAACAATAATTTTAATGGTCCGATCCCCGACTTCAATAATCTTACTAGGTTGAGATCCATTTATTTATCCTACAATCGTTTTTCCGGACAAATTCCCGGCAATGCATTACAAGGAATTCTCCGGCTCAGCATGATGTATCTATCGAAAAACCGGTTTTCCGGTCGGATTCCGGCATCGTTGGCCACCCTGCCCAAGCTTTTGGAGCTTAAACTCGATGGAAACTGGTTTTCCGGGAGTATACCAGACTTTAAGCAGAAAACGTTGCATGTAGTTGATCTCTCTAATAATCAATTAGAGTATGATGAATGCAGGCATGTTTGCAAGTGAATAAAATTCGACTCGGCTCAATTTTTTTTCGATTTTACGATTCGAATTAAGTCTAAATGTTTAATTATATATGCAAATGCAGGCAATAAAGATGTTTGTGCTGCACCATTGAAGGCATGCGTATCAACCCGTGCGAGTCCAAACCGTAACGTTGCTCCCGATTTCAAGAAGACGATCTCATTATGGGTTATTCTGATCCATATCATAGTTGGGGTCCTAATACAACTTGCCTTGGTTGTACTTATCATAATGGGTTATTATGATCCATATCATAGTTAGGGTCCTAATACTACTAGCCTTGGTTGTACTTATCATAATCAGTATCCCCAAAAGGCAGCAACAAGCTTCGAAAATGGAGGGTTCACCATCACCGCCATCGTATCGTAAAACGGAAACAGGTCTCAAGGAAGGAACCCGTGCTTCTTCCGTCTTGTCGCCGCGTTCGAGAAGCGGAAGGAAGGCATTGGAGGCTGTTCCAAAGCTTACTTTCTTGAGAGATGACGATGATGTAGAAAAGTTCGATTTGCCGGACTTGCTGAAAGCCTCGGCTGAGATATTGGGAAGCGGGTGTTTCGGTTCATCTTACAAGACTGCTCTACCAAATGGGACTGCCATGGTGGTGAAGAGGTAAAAACAGATAAACAGCGCTGGGAAAGAAGTTTTCCAAGAGCATATGAGGAGGATTGGGAGACTGAGACATAATAACGTGCTTACTCTCGTCGCTTATTATTACAGGAGGGATGAGAAGCTTCTTCTTGTATGTGATTTCGCCGAAAATGGCAGCTTGTTAGTTCATCTTCATGGTTCGTCTGCAATTTAATCAGTTGCTTGACAAACAAGTAACAATTCATGTTCATATATTTTGTTTTTAACTATGTTCTTTCGTGCATCTCATCAAACTTTGGGGGAACCAGCCCTTGATTGGCCAACTCGGTTGAAGATTGTGAAGGGAGTAGCCAAGGGGCTAGCGTACCTATACAAGGAGTTACCTAGTTTGATCGCACCACACGGTCACCTCAAACGTTCTCCTCAACGAATCCTTCGAACCCCTCCTCACCGATTATGCTCTGATCTCGGTCGTCAATCCGGAGAGTGCTCAAACGTTCACGGTGGCCTATAAATCACCTGAATACATCCAACAAGGTCGAGTCACAAAGAAGACCGACGTATGGGCTCTCGGTGTACTAATCCTAGAGATTTTGACCGGAAAATTCCCCTCAAACTTCCTGCTAAAGGGAAAAGGAAGCGATGAAGACGAGATAGCAACGTGGGTGAGATCTAAAGTCGGCGACGATGTCGAAGGAACTTTGTTGACGAACATGGAGCTGTTCGACAAAGAGATGGGAGCCATAACTTACGGCGATGGAAAAACAATGATGCAGCTGTTGAAGATCGGGTTGAGTTGCTGCGAAGGCGACATGCAGAAGAGATTGGATTTGAAAGAAGCCGTGGTGAGGATCGAACGATTGAAGCCCCAGATCGCTAGTCGAGACGATGAATTCTACTCCGCGATGGGTGACAGTGAGGAAAACAGGAAATGGTGATGTCCCATGAATATTGTTCATGTATCATGTCTTATTTTGTGTGGAGATTTGTTGAGATCTAAGAGATTTTAATGTTTCAAATTTCAATGCTATACTTGTGTATCTCAAGATTTCCTCTAGCCTGCATTTTCATTTATTAACTATTTTTTCTCCATCTTTTACCTGCATTATATATTTATATTATATCTATGTATCAAATAATTAATTATATATATTATTTATTTTTTTAAAATCAATTATATATATCAAATTTCAATGCTTTACTTGTGTATCTCAAAATTTTGATATATGTATGTATGTATGTGTAAGGCTGGTTTGGTACGTGAACTTGTTGACATGATGAATGCATGCATGCATGTAGCTGGGAACTACATGAACATTTCGAATGTCAACGAGGAGTTTTCAAAAGCATATAAGCAACACCTGGAACATCAGGCCAGGGAGATCTTTCTTCCTTTCCGATGCTTCTGCTCGCGGAAGGATGTACGTTTTTATTGTTCCCTGTCTCGGTCTCGGTTTCGTTTCTTTGATGGTGAATTTATTGTGTTGTGTATGTGATGTTTGTAACAGATCACCGGTAATGAAGTCATACTGGAGGATACCGATGTAGCTAGAGCCTTGGTTGATTATATTTCATCCGTTCCGATCGAGATCATGGTACTCGGCACACCGTCGAAAGGCGGATTTGTTAGGTGAATGATTGTTTCATCTTTCTCCACCCAAACACCTATAAGACATTGATTCGGCTCATTGATCTTTCTCTGCATTTGCCTTTGTTAATTGTCTGGCAGAAGATTCGGGAGCGTGGAGCTTACGACTACGGTCTCGAAAGCGGCTCCCGATTACTGCACCGTGTACGTGATCGGAAAAGGGTAGATTTCATCGGTTCGATCTGCTGCCACTTCCCCTCCGTCAAGACTCGACATGCCTCCTCCGGCTCAACTGCTGCTGCCTCCACCCGGTACCATCCCTGAAACACCGGAAACCCCTTCGGCTCATTCACCTTAGCTCAGATACAGAGGTTCTGGTAGGCCTCAACTTCCACCACCTCAACTGTATGAAGACACGGAAATGATCAATTAAGTTGTAATAAGATTATCAACATATATATAAATACATATATGTAACTCTGTAACTCAAACGGGAGCTCCAGCAGACAATGGAGATGTATAGTGCAGCCTGAAAGGAAGCACTCATGGCGAAAAAGAGGGTAATTATTCGAAAAGCTGGAATCATTTCTGAGCATAATCTACGAACTGGAGAATGTATTTAACATAATTTTTGTTAAAATTCTCATTACAGGAAAAGAACCTCAATGCTGGAAGTTCAAGAAGAACAGAAGATTGAAGAGGCGTGACTAGCGGAGGAAGCGGCTCTTTCACTCGTGGAGAAGGAGAAAGCAAAGTGTAAGGTTGCCGTTGAGGCAGCCCAAGCAGCTCAAATGATTGCTGAACTTGAAGCACAAAAGAGAATGATTGCAGAAAAGAATGTTAGCAGAGACGACGAGGAGGGGAAATTGGTTGCTGCTTCACATGATATCAGGTATTGGAGTTATACGATTCAAGATATCAAAGTAGCAACCGATCACTTCTCGCTGTCTCGCAAAATCGGAGGAGGAGGTTACGGGTCGGTGTATCGCTGCTACCTAGACCACACACCGGTCGCAATAAAAGTTCTACGTTCGGATGCAACCCAAGGGGAACTACAATTTCAGCAAGAGGTGTGCAGGGCCTGCAGGCACATAAGAACTAGCTATTCTAAAATACTTGCAAGGAATTTATTGATTATATATCTTGTTGTCTCGTATAGGTCGAAGTGTTGAGCTGCATAAGGCATCTGAACATGGTTCTTCTTGGTGCCTGCCCGGAGTATTGCTGCCTAGTCTACGAATACATGGATAACGGGAGCTTGGAAGATAAACTACTTAGGCGCAATGACACTCTGGTACTTCCAATGGCAGCAGAGATCGCAACAAGTCTTCTTTTCCTACACCAAACCAAACCGGAGCCAATTGTGCACCGTGACCGGAAACCTGGCAAGATTTTGCTCGATCGCAACTATGTCGGCAAGATCAGTGATGTTGGATTGGCTAGGCTTGTTCCTCCATCGTTTTCGACTCCGTAACTCAGTACCATATGACGGCAACGGTTGGAACATTCTGTTACATAGATCCAGAATATCAGCAAACCGGATTGCTAGGGATAAAATATGATGTCAACTCACTGGGAATCATGCTACTACAAAAAATAACCGCCAAGTCACCAATGGGTTTAACTCATCAGGTCGAGAATGCTATTGAAAACGGAACATTCGCTGATGTACTCGACCCTGTTGTGCCTGATTGGCCAATGGATGAAACCTTGGCCTTAGCCAAGTTAGCCCTTAAGT